TCTAAATAAATAAAATTAAATTACGCTGGGTGAACCATCAAAGACACATCGACTTCTTTATACGCTCCAGCTTCGATTAATTCTACTTTATGGCATTATTTTAATTATATTCTTACAAAATATATATAGAAATTGTAAGCGGTAAAGAAAATCAAAAAGAATAAAAGAGTAAAAAACCTTCAGCTGGTGTTCTAAACAATACTACTTTTCCAGGAATGCTTAAAGCTTTAAGTACATTCATTACACCTTTTTATCGTATATAAAATCATTTATTCAATATGCTAACTCTAATGCCAATCTACTTCATGTTTATAAGTCTATACCATAAGCAGCAGCGACACCAGAAATCGCAATCAAATTATGCCACATCCATGTCCAAGCGCAGACAATGCGTCGTACCTACAAACAAATTAATAAAAATAAATGCAAAAAAATCATCAAAAAATCTTGTTGCTTACTCTGAATTAAAAGACACAGTCCGTCCACCAGTAACCTCGCTTCATATTCCGCACGAAAAGCAGTATTTAATCTGTATGCTTTTCTTGTTACTTTTTCTCAAGATAATCCGTCAAAAGGTTATGTGCAAAGTGTTCTTCGAGTGCAATCTCAGGCTTTGCGTGAATCTGATTTTTCATAATCGAATGTAATAAATAAATCCTTATTCGAAAATCATCAGTTTATAACCACCTTTAAACTAATTTCTCGCAAATCGTCTGAAATCACTGCAATAGAATTTTCTACGATCTTAGTAAATTCTGTCTTTTGAGCAGCCATTGACGATATGTATTCACAATTAAGGGAAATGTTACAGTCAAGTCACAATATGTAACCAAGTATATGACTTAACGTTAACGTTAAATATCAAAATGCATGTGATATCGATATCGATTTAAGGCAGTATGTTGATCTTTTTGAACACGACACTACCGTGGTATTAACGTTAATGTATCGCAAACTCCAAATGTTTAAATTTATTTGTCATTATCGTTAACGTTATCGATATGCATGAAAAATTAAACGATAGAGGAGTTATCTTTACCGAGTACATTCTTTTAGTTTAAGAACAATAAGTTCACGTGGAAAACGATACGAGCGATTTCATTGGCCAAGCAAAATTATTGTACAATCAAATTACATGTGCAATATACTCGTTATAAAGTTAGCTTACAATGCGATTTTTTATAACTATTCAATGGCTATTACAACTTTTTAATTATCTTGTTTGCCCTTATCATTAGTATCGCCCGAAAACTAGTGGCGACAGTATTAATCATCAATTCGTTTGCAGAAACTATGTTGAAGGGATTTTTATTGGCAGCATTGATATTAAATGTATTTGTCGCCGCTGGTGACAGTCACTGGTCACGTGTAGAGTTACGGTTAGGGTTAGGATCGGGATATAGATTAAAGAACATATAACAAATTTTCTCAATGAACACTTTGTTAGAAATAAAAGACAGTTTCATAGGCAAAAATTCGAGATACAGAAAAAAAGAGCGTTTGATTTGTTTTGAAATTTTGGCGTTACCGTTGCACTTTGATCTTGCGATTTGATTGGTTAATAAAAACCCTGTATTCAACTCTGAGTTGACAGAGACAGAGAATACTTTGTGTCTTGATTTTTTAATGACATAATGCCTTAATCAGAGGCATTTCAGAGGTAATCTTTTTCAATAGTTACTTAAAAATCTTTTTTATATAAAATCACCGCCATTACTTTCACCGGGGACTGCGAATAAGTTATTGCACATTTAAAAAAAATATTATCATTATATTATAGTAAAAAATACTGCTATGATTTTTTAATGATTATGTTAGACCAACTTCTGAAAATTATATTAATTTTTTATGAATTATTTACTTTCTATTTCAACAAATTTATAACACTCCAAATGCACTACCTAAAGAGTAAAACATCTGAAGAAATTTATAAGTATATTAAATTGGACAAGCAGAACACAATACATGTATCTATAAAAAAACAGAAAGTTATAAAAAATAACTAGACTACAACAAAGAATAAATATATTTCTGACACGATCTCGCTGTATAATAACCGTTTTGGTGAGATTTTTTGGGGCATTTTAACGCCGTAAAAAGATCTTTTGAAACTCCAAATCCGTATCAATAACATTCAGCCAATTTGAATTGAGGAATTTATCACTGGATTCAGTAGAGCTTAAATAATACTCAGAATTTTATTTGTAATCTTTTTGCGTCCCAATATAGTATTGTCCTTCAACAACTCCTCCCAAATACCATTCAAAAGCTTTTTTGTGATCTTTTGCGTCTCAATACCATTTTTATAACAATATAACACTGTCCTTTACTATATTTCTTCTCTGACAATTCAAATACCATTCAAATGCTTTTTGGACATCCTTTTGCGTCCCAATACCATTAAGATAACAAACCCAAGCTTATATTGTCCTTCAACATCTTTTCCTTCTGCTGATTTCAAATACCTAATCCTCATTATTTATAATTTTCCAATTAAATGTTGTACTACAACATCTCCTTGAAATGCCAACGGTTGATTATTTTGCAAAAAGCTTAATCGCAGTCTTTTTTTGGTATTCAAACCCATATGATATTATCTTGTAAAATTTGGAAAAATATCATTTTCTCAGAGTATTTGAGTTTTTCATACTATTTATTATTGTCATCAATAATTCATCCATCGTAGTTTTATTGCTGATGAATAATTTGATTTCAACTGCTCTTACTTCGATCATTTACGACAGCGTCATCTACGTACGTTTATTCTAAATATTTTCGATTCATTCTTTACACTATCTTCGGTCGTCAATAGCGGTTGTGGATTCTCTTCTCGTTCTGGCTGTTGCTTTCTCTTATCATTTACCATTTTTCAATTTCTTTCAATTGTTAATTTCGGACATGTATACGTACATATTCGTGCTGCAGCACAATAGATGTACATACTCCCTGAGACAGTATCCCCATTTTGCTGATAAGCAATTTGCGGACTAATTTTTATAAGTACGTAGTGTTTGGTTTTTTCTATGGATCTATTGTGTTTAATAGCAAGATAACCCTCCAATTAGTAACAAATTTTCATAATTCTATATCTCGGGGGTACTATTCATGTTCAAGGGGTTTTTTGAGTAAGACCGGGGGTACTGTAGAAAGCGTTATACGGTACCATGTACATGTTCCAAATTCCTTATCGTTATCGATAAAATACGTACTGTTAACACTAAATCTTTCTTTTTTTCCTTTCTATTTCTTTATTTACGTCAGTCACTTCTAATTACACCGCAAATTGCACCGTAAATTACGCTGTAAATTACACTGTAATTTCTTCAATAATTTCTTCCTGTAATATGAAATCAAAAAATGAATATAATGAGAGCGAGAAAAAGCAATTAAAAGAGAGAATTGGCAATAACATTCACTTTTTCTGGACCAAAAGCATAAACCTTTTCAAATCGCAGTCGTTACGGTTGTTAAAACAATTATCTCACTTTTTCTGGATCAAAAGTGGCAAACCTTCTTTACAACAATGGAGCATGAAAAGGCACTATAAGAACTTATTGTACGCAAGTAAGTAATTATATTTTTAACGTTTGTGAATACGTGAACGAAATCTAACCGACGATTGAATACAATATCCGAAGATATTTGCACGGGACTTTAGAAAAATTAATAATGATAATAAATAATAAAATAATACATGTAGTCTCTCCCACCCAAGTTACAGATTAACAGCTAACGCTAATTCCTATAATCGGCCCCTAACGCTAACCTGTAACAATACATGTACCAGTATGTACATTAATACTGTATTTAAATATCGATATGCATTTTGCGCATTCATTCATTTCCAAAAATAGTCATCATCGTCAGGCACGAGCTAGTATTTTATTGGTCAGAAGATTTTGTTATATGTCAGACATTTTCAAATGGTCGTAACGAAAGGTTTCGTCATCGTCAAGTACACCGAATGGTCGTTCACCTGTGATATGACACATGATCATCCCAAAATTATAAATATCCACAGATTCAATGTATGGTTTCCATTTAATACCTTTGGACTAATGTAAGGAATATTACCTAAATTTCTTTGGATATTTTTATATCTGCTGAACCGGTAAGTCCCAAACATCAATATATTGCAGGGTGAAAGTCACAATGCACAAGTTTCTCTTCGTGGATTTTTCTCGGCCCACCCTAATTTCTTTCTCCATGTCAGTTCTTCATAGTTGGAATTAACATATTTGTTATTGAGTATTCATTTGTAGCTGGATTTTTAGTTATTCCATAATAACTTATTCCAAAGTAAGTATCACTGAAATTAAGTTTAATTATATTAGAAAACAATAAAGCAACTTACTTGCACTTTAGAAACTGATCATTTTATTTCGTTTATAATCACGTAATGATTTGAATTTATTGTTTTCCTGATCCTTGTAATAGTGCAACGATGTTTTATAAATTGTCGGTAAATTTTCAAAAAGGATCCATTTGCATTCTCTTATCAGACAGTCAATATCTTATTTCCGCTAGATCATTCAGCTTTAGAAAGTTGATAGTGATAATCGAAACATTCACTGCAGAGATCGTTTTAATTTTAATCATCAAAGAAAAATTAGTAAATGAATTGAAGAAAATAAAATAGTGATTTTACTTTCGTTAAATACGTTTGAAACATACAAACTTACACCTGTTAATTTAATACTGATATTATAACAGCAGTAGAGTAGAGTTGTGTGCAAACAAGTCTTTTTAATATGATCTGATACTAGATTTTCTGAAAATAATTTTATCTTAATTGGGATATACATGTACAAACTGACACTTGTAGAACCTAATTAAATATGAGATGGAAATATTTATGACTATATTTAGAAATAAAAAGAACCTGTATCATTTGAAATTGTAATTAACCTTGTAGTAAAAACTAAACTGCATTCAGGTAGATTTTTTATTTTTGTTTTTATTCATAAGAATGTTTTTATCAAGTCCTTTGATTTCATCATGCACTTTTGGATATTCTAAGAGTTCCCACTCCCAGTTGATATTGTAGATAAAGTCTCCAAGTTCCTCAGCAGTTGGCCTGTTTTCTGGAATAAGTTCCCGATATTTTAATAATAAATTTGCACCATCCAGAAACAGTATTTGGTATCGTAAGCCGTGTTCATTTACGGATGTTAATTATCATTATCTCGCTCACTGAATGATCATTCGCCTGTGAAAACCTTGTGCATAACTATTCCAAAACTATAAATATCTGCAGTTTGAGTGTATGACTTTTTGTTTAACACCCCCTGGATTTATGTAAGAACGTACGCCGTAAATTTTTAATTAGATTTTTATTTCTGATGGATGGTAAAGCATAAACTTAAAAATATGCTTCCACACGATGTACAAATCCCTCAGTAGATTTTTTTAAATTCTTCAATACATGTAATTTTTCATTCCAATTCAATTTTTGAATATATTTACTATTAAGTACTCATTTTTTAGTTATTCCATAATATTTAGAGCTACAATATGGTCAGAATCGATTTTGGAAAATTTGATTGTATTAGAAAAAAAGCATCAATTTCGTTTATAAACTCTAATGTAATTTGCTTTGAATTGCGTAATGATTTCAACACAACTTCTTTTTATTTTCTTCATGATTCCACCCGTTGTAATCGTGCAATACTGCTTTATAAATTGTCCTTTTGTAAGATATTCAACATTAGGAAATCTTTCAAACGGAATCCATTCAAATAGTTTAATTTCGTCGTATTCTTCTATTAGACAGTAAATATTTTTATTTCCTCTTAAGATATCTACAGTTTAATAAAGGAATATTTATGTATGAAGTTTTCAAAAAAAAATTGATTCAGACTGCTCTAAACTGAAATAATATTTACAATAAAACTACATGTATTATCGTTATTACGTACATGTATTATGGAATAACTAACGTTCTACATGTACAAATGAATGTACGTACATGTGCTCTCGATAACGATTGATTAATGTGAAAATGTGTGTAACAATTTTATTATCATACATGTACGTACGTAATTACGATATCGGTATACATGTACATGTTATACGTACATGTATATCGATACTTGTACATGTGATAGAAATTAATAACAAAAAGTTATTGATTAAAGCAAATAGTAAGAGAAAGCAACAGCCAGAATCTGAAGAGAATCCCCAACCATTATTGACGACCGAAGATAGCGTAAAGAAAGAGGATAGGTCGAAAAAAAGATTCAGAACAAACGTAGAGGACGCCATAAATGATCATATGGATGGGACTTATTCGGATCAAGTAATAGCGATAGCAGCTGAAAATCAAACCATTAATCAGCAACAAATTGACAGAGAAAATAAAACTACAATGGATGATTTATTGATTCTCTTTGACAATATTTTCAAATATAATAAAAATTATGAAACAAATCTAGAAAAATTTTTCACTATTACTTTAGAAAAAACTCGAATACTTTCTGAAAAAATTAGATTTTTACAAAGTTTACAAGATAATACGCTATATAGAAAGATTCTAGGCTTTATTTATCATACGGGTTTGAATATCAAAAAAGACTACGATCAAGCTTTGCAATGTTATCAACAATTGGCATTTCAAGGGGATGCTGTAGCACAATATTTAATTGGAGAATTATACAATGATGAAGAT